AAAAGGGGAGAAATCGTCTTACGGGGAAAACAAAAACGTAAGCTGTAAAATGTACGAAAAATACGTAAAGTTTGCAGGAAAATGTAAGACCTGGCAACTCTGATGCAAAGACCGCTTTAGGTCCCCCTTTCGGAGAACCTCCTTATACGAATAACAATAATATTGAAGTAGAAAAATAATTTAATATAAAAGTTAACCCGTGGCCAAAGTTGTTTCATTATTCGAACAATTTTTCAAAAATGTTCCCTCTCTGATGAGCCCCTAGGCAGCATCCTGGCTGCACCCCATCTCGTGGGGCCTGTCCATGAGTCGGAAAGAATAAAAATCTCAGTTCAAGAGCAAATAAAGAGTATTTCGTTGTATTGTCTTTCAGAAGATCCAAAGTTCGGAAACAGTAGAGTTGCATTATTTAAAAATTTTGGAAAGTAACGAAAATGCATGTGTTCGCTCTTTGTATTTTCATACGACCGATTACAGTATGTTCTATATTGATATAATACAGATAAAATATTTTATCTCTATTATTTTGAGATAAAATACAGATAAAGTATTTCACAAGGACTATTGTACGAATACAATAGTAAAATATTATTTGAATATTGTTTTATGTGGTTTACTTAATGTTTATACGCCCTTCGTGATGCACTTAAGACCCCCGCGAGACAGGAATACAGACACTTACTCTGAATGCTTTATTAGGGGTTCTACTTGGACCGGGCGCTCTCCACTCATACATTAGTCAGGGCCGTCTGTCTTGCACGTCCCTCGCTCTCTGTGTTGTCAGATCTTACCGTAACAAATATCGGTTTATAATAGTTTGTTCGATGTCGTTTGCTGTCCTTTAATTGTATCTTTGATCGATAGATTAAACAATTGACAGAAGGATCCAGAACATAAAAAAAAGCAGGTTTTGTTCAAATCGGAGTTTGATCTAGCCGGAATAGAAATACGAATTCTGTATCAGTAGTTATGGGGTGGGTTTCCGCCTAACCAAAGAGCTGTCTATCCTTCGAGCAATCCTCCACCCTTCCCGGCAATCACACCAACATTTCTATTTGTACAGATTCCAAATCAATCCTGTCTGCCCTCATGCATCTCATTGCGCCACCTTTGCTGCAAACTTAATCCCGTGAGTATAGAATAACGGGTTTTTCTTTGAAGAGTCTCGAGCGTCAGGTATTATCGGTGTGCGGTATGTTGGCAATATGGTTGTGCAGGGCACGAAATATGCGTTAGTCGGTTGACACCGAATCTCGAGCCGTAAGGTGGACGAGACAGAATCTCCCGGCTTGTCTAAGATCGTTTTTGTTCTACATGTTACTGTGGCAGTATCGGACTTTTGTCTTTTTTTGGACGAAGTTCTTTAATTAATCTTTGCTTCGAGCGATCCTCTTGTACAGTTCTTTCGTGTTGTTGGTCAGAAGCAGTTCAATATGTAATGACGCCACATACATCTCAACAAATTCAGATCATATCTTTCTGCCCTATTGGTCTTTTGACATTTGCAACAGCTGGTTGACCTTTGTTTACTACCAATGCATGCGCGTCATATTTGTAGTGCGTCCTACATGGCAGCGTTAAGCGTCCGGGGCGGTCAGAATCTTTGTACACGCTTTTAGTTCGCGAGCGATCTCTGTCTGAAGTGGACCCGTGTTGTTTATAAAGCCTAGTTTGCAAAGAGCGTAAAAGTGATTGGCAATGGTCATATGGGAACATTCGAGTTGACAAGCTAATTCTTTGGTGGGTATCCGTGTATTATCGTCTATCAGTTGCAGGTGAATATCGTCGTCCTTGGTGGAATCGCTGCCCGGATGGGATTCGTCTCAAATCAAGCAATCTCCATACTTGAATTTCTTGTACTAATTGTAGCAGGTCTGCGTCCTCGCCAAATGCCTCGCATATGAGATCATGAGCTTTTGATGCATTGGGCCACTTTTGAAATGATAGAGAACAGCACACGAATGTGTTCTTTCGAAAGATTCGTATTGTCAGACGTGCTAATGCATCTGCATTATATAGCCAAAAGTCATGGGACACCTAATTCTTTTGGTTTGAAAGGTCCAGACCATGTATTTAGTAGGTGATGGGACCTCCTTTTGCTGATATAACACCGTTCACTCTTCTGGGTAGACTTTCCAATAAGTTTTGATACACTGCTGATAGAATTTGCCTCCATTAGTTCAAAGTTCAAAGGTGTTTTTTGATTGAGTTGGTCTGGCACGCAATCGGTGCTCCAACTCATCCCAAAGATTCGAAGGGGTTGAGATCGGTACTTTGAGCAGGCCAGTCAAGCATACCTGCATGATTTTCCTCAAATCATGTCGTTGTAGACCTTGCTTTATGGGCTGGAGCATTATCGTGCTGGAACAGAAAAGGGCCAGTTTCAAACTGTTGCCACAATGTGGAATATGTGGAAAGCATGTTGTATGTCTTGGCATTCACTATCCCCAGCACCAAAATCAATGGACCACATCCATCCAGGAAAAATTGTTCTAAACACCGCCACCACCAAATTTCAAAGTTTGTACAACACACTCCAACGAATGCTGAATTAGGTGCGTTCATCTGCATCCAGCCCAACAACACGCGTCTATTCGAGTGCCATATCATGTAGCGTGATTAATCACTCCACAGGATCGGTTTCCACTGCTCCACGCCCCAATTACGGTGTTTTTTTTTGTGTGTTTTTCAATGCACGTTGCTCCAAGCGACGTGCATTGAGTTGTATGATCAAGGGCTTTTTGTAGCAGCATGAAATCCGAGTCCCATCATTTCCCGGCGGATAGTCCTGTCACTGGCCTGTGTGACTGACGTGTTCCGGAAATCCTCTGTGATCATGGTCAAGGCTGACTGGCGATTAGCTCGCACAACACGTTTCAGTGTTCGGACACTATTCTGGGCCTACCAGAGCAAGGATCGGGGTTAGTGGTTCCCTTTAATTTCCATTTCACTGTCGCATTAAAAACTTCATTAATTAATATGCATCAATAATTTAATAATATATATAGCAGAAATTCTGGTGGAAAGAAAAATGCAAAGTACAGAAAACACACAGAGAGAAATTGAAAAATTAAAATTGGAAATTTGGTATTTAAGAAAATGGAAGATATAAAGTTACCAACATTAAGTCAGGTAATTGTAAATAAAACAATTTTAATCTGTGTGACTGTGTTGCTGTAATCTTATACACCAGTGTGATAAGTCCTATTAATAGAAATACACTGTTATGGTGATTGTAAGAATAATTTGTTTAAATTAAGGACATTGATGCATATTAATTAACATAACATTTGACTTTAACAGAAAAGCACATTTGTTTAATGCTTAAATATTAGGAAATAAACAGACATGCTCTAGTAAAAATATCATTTGAAATTATACCATTAATGCATGATTTCAAATTATATCAATTGTAGGACATATAACACATTACTTGACATCAAGTGATATCACTTTTCCTGGACTGTTAAAATGCTTTTCATGTTTCCATTTTCAAACCTTTGACATCAATTAATACCATGTGTTATCATGTGATTGACGTCACTTGATATCGCCTTATATCACTTGACGCTATGTCCAGAAAATATTTTGAAAAACATTTTATCTTTAAAGATTTCTGACTCCTATTAACTGTTTAAAAATGCCTTTTATTTAATAGTAGAATAAACATCAATTAAGCTTATATGAAATATGATGAATTTCAGTCAGTAGACAAGGATACTTATATTATTCTTGAAGAAATTTTGTTCCTAATTCAGACTTAATCATATAGCTAATTGATAGCACTTGGTATCATTTAAAATCAATCAGACAGCACTACAGAAATGATATCAAGTGATATTTTGTCTAAAATGAATTTTTGGACAGTTTCAAATAATGTAAAATGGTATCACTTGTAATCAAGTAATATTATGTCAATAATATTATGTCATTTGGTTATTTAGAATAATTTCATCAGTTGATATCACACCACATCATTTGAAACTATCCAAAAATCACTTGATGAAATGGCACTTTTACCAGGGCAACATTTTTAGCTGTGCCTATATGTTTACATCACAATATAAAAACTTGTAGGTATTAGTAAAAGTATTTTGTGTGTTTATTATATGTTAAAAGTTTGTTTAGATATATAAATTATAATACGAAAGGGTATTTAATAAAGTAGAAATTATGGACCTTGGAAAAATTACTAAATCCAAAATAGTTGGTTGCCCAAATAAAACTGTTTATAATTTTATTATACTACATTACACTGATTACTTTATAAAATTAAATAATATAATTGACTTTCTACAAATGTGTTTATTTGTTTCTAAGATGTGTCCTATACAGTAATTCTGCTAATTGTAATCATGGTCATTTAAGACATTTATTGTTACCTTTAAACAAATGGGCATTTCTAATGTTTTCGGCATCAAAAAGCATGGCTAATTATGCAGTATTAACTAGTGTTTTAATTATTCTTTGCACTTGCTATTTCAATTATATTCAGGACGAGTTACTAGCAATTATTAATAAATCTTCAAATTATACATTTTAGCATCATCTTATATCTGAAGCAATGATGAAACTAAGTCTTATCTACTTATTCCCACTTATCAGTAACACCTCAAAGTTATTTACCATATGTACAGGTAATTTTAGAGTTTAGAAATTTAATCCAGTTTAAGGATTAAATTTTCAAGGATGATAATAAAAATGCATCTGCCCAAGTGGAAGTTTATCTTGCAAAATCATTTTCCAAAATCTGTTGAATTGGTTTGATTTAATCAAACATTTCATTTAATACTCAAATCGTAGTTTCTGTATTTCAAGTAATTCAAAGTTTATAGCTGCTTTTTGACAATTAGCAAATTCCTAGTCCTCTAAGCTCAGTTAATGAAGAGAAAATCAACATTTGGTTAGTAGTAATCTCGGTTAAATTGTTATTGAAGTTTTCAAGGTTCAAAATACAGTATAACAATTGTTAAATAATTATTTATAATTTTCAGTTAAAATAAGAACCAGCATATATTTATCTTCACTAAACTTAACTTTGGAAAATTACTAGACAAATTGTGTCATTCGGTTATGCCTAATAATAAATTTTAAACAGGATTAGAGTAAATTTACAAAAAAATTTTATTTTTAACTTGTTTTCAGTTAAAATAATTTTAACTCACATCTAGACAATTTGTAAGACATGTAATCTCCACTGTTAAAATTGTTAAGATGGAATAAATGAAAATATTTCTTTTGAACAGAGTTAATTTTCAAGAAACTTCAAAATAAAATAATAATAATTGAAAAATCCAACATTAATGCGATACAAAACATTTTATTGATTAGCATTGCTTTGACCATCACTGCTATGACAAACTAGTTTTACACAAATTAAGTCCATTTATTTTCCGTACTCTGTCCAAAAATGGATGGCCAGGCAGAGAAACTTAGAATGTCACTTGGGGTCGGAAGTGATGCTGCAGCTTATTATTTTGCAGTCCCAATTTCAGGGTCCACCTAGACCGGACTCTCGTGGCATAACCGGCAGTTCTGATCCCAGAGACGGCACGTCCGTCGGCAGAGCTGGTCCACCCCAGGGCCCGGTAACGGGAAGCTGTGGCCCGCATTAACCTCTTCGATTTCTCCTCTCTCTGTCTGTCATGGGGACGTAGGTTCTGGCGGTAGTATCTAGCAAGAGAACGGTGGCCCACTGTGGTGCCAGAGGGCAGAACCAACTCCCATCCACCATCATCCAAAAGGGCTGGGCCCGCCTCTGGATCGTCCCGGGGATAGCCGGAAGAGTAGTCGTAGAAGTCGGCATACTCGAGGAGACCGTCACTGCCACGCCCAATCTTCGCATGTCCGGAGTCGGCAACGTGACGCCGCACAGCAATGGCCGAACCAAAGCACCTGTTGCACCAGGGGCAAGCGCGGTCCTCCGTCACCTTTCGATTGAGATGGGATATCAGTCCTGGAAGGTCGACCACATACTCTGGATCCGGCACGAAGAACGAGTGACGGAGCGTCATGTGTCGCAGGTTACCTCCGACGTCCCCATGGCGGCGGTCGCAGAATGGACAGACATCGCCTGTTGACTCTTCGGTCTCATCGCAGCTCTCCCATTCGTCGTCGTCGTCGTCGTCGTCCCCCTCTTCGATCACTTCTTCCTCTTCACACGAAGTGACGTCACTGGTCATATTAGTTACGTCGCTTCGAAAGCGAATTTCTCGTTTCGCTTTCTTAAACTCCTCCTTATCCGGCGTCTTGGCGGCCAGTTGATGTTTCTTCGACTTTTGGTGAGCTTCGAGAGCATTTATCGAAGCGAAGTTTTTTCTACAAACCCCACAATAAGTGGCGAGGTTCTGTTTGATCTCCACAGTTTTGTGTTGGGATTCCTTCTCTTGAAACTTCTCCTCCGTAACCGGAGGCAGTTCCGCCACTTTCCTCTTCAGGTTATACCGGTGCCATTCTGATTTGTAATGACCCCTTTGAACTTCGGGATGGTTAAAGACCACGCGACACGTTATGCAAGTAAACGACATGGCTACTATCTCTCACCTTCGCTCAACAAACGTAAACAGTCGAGTAACGACGCCCCCTAGCGGCAAGAAATTTTGCCAGCGAATAATTTTTAATATTCGGGAAATTGCATTTTATTCGGGACGAACGAAATTTTAATTTCGATAATAAATTTGCAGGAGAATTATCCGTCTTATATCGGTTGCGTAGTTCGTTAAATTCGATCCGGTCATTCCCGCACCAGACTCCGCGCCGAACGGATTACGGCTTGTCGCTAACGGCGAGGTAGTTTAAATGTCCGAATGGCCTACTTTGACTTCTGCCGAGAAATATTTACGGAAAATCTGTAAATAATGGACGGGAAACGAAAAAGACCAAATTATTTTAAATATATTAAACCGAATCGGAAGAAGCGCGAATTACGGCCGGCAGGGTGCGCTGGGAAGAAAATGGTGTCGTGAGCCGGAGAGGATAGTCGGAAAGAAAGATGGATTCGGTTCTGCGAGACAAACTCAGCATGATCGCCGCCCTGGGTGCGGGAGTGGTGGTGGGGCTGAGCGGCATTTACCTGTACTATAAGACGAACAGGGCGGTCACCCGGGAGCTGTCGCACCTGTCGGGCACAATCGAGTGTCTGAGGAAGGAGATCGAAGACCTCAAGAAGTTTCGAGTAAACGCTGCGGAGCCGAAAAGCGCTCCCTCCCACTCGCAGCATCTCTCGGCCATCGCCCCCACCTCCACCGGCGAAGAGGCCGAAGAGGAATACTTCGACTTCACCGACACGTGAGTCGCTTCCCCGAACCCGACGAAAAGTCCCAAGTTCGGGCGATTTTCGTAACCTCGAAAAGCGGAATTCGTACGAAATATTCGCGCTGTGGTACTGTACTTGGCGGAAAAATGCCGCGCACTGCCGGGGCACGCGTACCACCGTTTGGGAAGCGCGGAATCGGTCAGTCGGCGCGGCGCTTTAATCAAGGAAATGACCGGAAGTCTCTCGTTAACCTAACCAGCGGTCGATAAGTGACTTCCGGTCGTTTTCGGTCGATTCGTCCGAAAGAGGAGTCAATCCATCGAATATTTCGGAGTTTTCTTCGCACCCACAACTACGTAACTTTTGGATTTACCCTACTTCCGGTGACGTCACGGGACGGTCCGAAAGTGTAACCGCTGCGCGACCTTGTAAAAAGAAAAATTTATTACACATGAAATAATAAATACGAGATTGTCCTGATAATGGCTTAGAAGTGGTGTTGCAATAGTACTGAAAATGAGTCATTAAGTATCAATACTTTGAAAATAAATAACTGGTGTTGGGTACTTTTGCAACACTACTTTTAAATGGTTGTATTTTTTTTTTATGTAAAAATATGTAAATGTAACTTTAAATGTGCCAGGACCATCGACATAAAGTTCTTAAGTCGGTGGTCCTGGGATCGCAGTAGATCAGTCTGGTTGCAGGAAGACTGCTTTATTAGTGGTGAACAGTTAATTTATTGTGCGCTCATTCATACAAATGCCAAAATGACTACATATTGTATTCAAATTCTTTGTTTATTTTACATGCATTAATAAAGGAAAGTATCATCTAGATGTGGTATGATGATTATGTTATTGAAGCAAAGTGTACTCGGGGCCGATTTGCACCGTGCGTGCTTGTTTGGTCTGGCAGTGCTGAGTTTGAGAAATACGTCCCTCTCACCACCTGTCACGTTTTCGAATACTCTTCATTAGGATGGAGTTTTCTATTTGTTGCCGGATCGATTGCTTGTGACTGGTGGCCACATCTCGTCTGTTTCTATACCGGTTATGTTCTCTAAATGTTATTCTGTTGGCTGCTGGATTATAATACTCTTCTAACACAGCAAAAATAGATCCTGTGGCTATACTATTTAGCATGTGAATTTGTTGTGCCAGACAAATATGTACTGTACAGTTTGAACCAGCATTAAGGGTTCAATTCATTTGAAATGTTGGAAAATTTTTTTCTATTGTTTTTTACTTTATGGTAATAATCTTGCAGAGTATTTGCTATTATAAATGTTGTTTCATTATGGGTTGTACTAAAAAACTGCATTGGCAAAATTGCAGAAATGTTGCTGGAAAATTTCCAACTTTTTCTCTTATATTGAAATAAACTTGACATTTAAAAAGAAACCTTTGAATTCATTTGTCATCGATACCCAAAAATATACAAAATACAGTAATAACAGTTTCGATATCAAACCTTTTGGCCATTTAAAACCTTCTCCGTCTATTAGACAAATTTTGGTATTTAAAACTATACACCATGCTATCGGATTGACAATTTTCAGATTAAAATTACTCATCTTCACATAACCTTCCATCAGGTGCATTTGATCAATTAACACACCACATAATATTTTGAATTGTCATTTCTTAATGAGAAACTGTAACTGTGTCTATTTTTCGGCAGTTTTGTTTCTCTCATTTGTGACAGTGGTTGTCATTCTTAAAATTTAAAAAATCTTTAAAGTACATGGCAATTTCTTTTCTGTAAAGATGCCATAAAACCAATTTTGTCACTTAGAAAGTAGTATTGTATTACGAGTAATATTTTCCAATAACAGTCAAAGAAATGGATAAAAAAGAATGAGAAACAAATGAAAAGATGTAATTACTTCAATGTACCAATAAAATAAAAAGCTACTAACAAAATATGAAAGAAAAAAAATTAGAAAAGGCAATTTGTTTATGTTTATGTATTTGTTTTGATTATGTATGCAATTTGTTTTTTTTTATAACACACGGCATAAATGAATCATGATCGATAGTTAGTAAAACAGGAAAATCTTTATATAGTATAGAAAATACAGATGAATCATTTTTATACTTGTTTTTATCTTTCCGGAATATTATTGATATAATAAAGTATATATGAGTTTGATAAAGATTAATTTATAATTTGTCCTTTGTGTTGATTTTGTAACAATAATGATGATTTAAAACTGAATAATATATCAGAAATAATATTTCTGATATATTTTTGATTATTAAGCAAATATTTTATGAATTTTTACATCAGAAATATTATTTCTGATGTAAAAATTCATAAAATATTTGCCCATCTTCCTAATGGGTTTTATATTGTACCTGACAGAAGGTTAATGAACAATTTATTTGTGACTTTTGAATGATTTATAACAATTTATAGGTTTGTATTTTATAAATGTAAAAATTCAATAATTTTTTAAAAGTGTTTTATAAAATTTTGAATAATTGAAAATATTCTTTCTCACTTTAATTGAGTATGACATAATTAAAACTTGGTATGATAAACTTCTGAAACATTACACTTGGTGTACTCACTCCAAATTTGTTGTAATAGAATAAGTATTCTCGCAATGAATATTTTATGTTGTTAAGAAATATTAGTGAGGTTTAGGCCGAAGTTTTAAACACGAAAATGTATATGTCGGATGTTCAGTGCCACTTTCCTGTAATCCTAGAAGTTTGACAATGGTGTTTGGAATGTCAAGCATGATTCCTCTGACTATCCAAATACCATTGTCAAACTTCTAGACTTACAGGAATGCGGCACTGAACGTCCGACGTACACGTTTTCGTGTTTAAAACTTCGGCCTCAACCTTGCTATTAACTAATTTTATTTAGCTGCACTTTATAATACTAAGAATATTTGGATGCCAAACACATAAAAGTTTTAGAAAATGAACACACTTTACGTTCTGAATAATGATAATCCATTCTTAATCTCTTTGTGTCTTCTAATTATTTTTTTTTCAGTAATAAAATTCACTTAAATCTATTATTATTTTCACAATATTATTGCTTAGAAATCTAAATATTTTATAGAGTACTCTTTTGATTTCAAATGAGATTGGAGATATGTTAAATTGGATCCACCATGGCACATACAGTCGGGCCTGATATAGTATAACGGTGTCTCTGTTCTGTCGTGCCTATTGGCCAAAGGGCAGAGATAGTTCAAAATGGTGAATGGGAAAGGAAGAGTATGGTGAAAAATCCAATTTTGGTTCTGTGAGATTCTTAATGGGGAAACTATCTTGTTACAAATGCCTCTCTATTGTTATTGATAGGGATATTAATTACCAGACTTTGCCTTTGGTCTGCTATGGGAATTACACCCATTAATGCTAAAGTTTGGTCACTAATGTCTCTTGCTGAGAAGTATTTAAAAGAATAAAAATGACACTAGATTTTATTTCCCTTTGTCAAAGACATTAAAGATAGAGGCTACTTATGTTCATCCCTCTTAGTTACTAATGTGTTTTATGGAATCCCAAAATCTTGTCTTCATCTGGAATTGTCTAACATTTAGATTTGATGTTGATGTTTGAGTTGATGTTTGCTTTGTTTGAAAGAGCATGCCATTTTTCTTATTAAATATGGATAGTTGTTCTGGATGTAATAAAGTGTCACATGTCTGCCAGTTTATTTCTAATCAACTAACAGATAGTCCATTGAATTAATAAACTTTGCAAAAATAAGAAAATCCAACATTCAGAATATAATGGAAATGTTTTTTGTTTATGTCAACTAAAACTAAAAATAATAGGTGTATAAGTCTGCCCTGTCGATTTTTTTTCTCTGTCTACTGGTTGGATTGTCATTTATGAAAAATTCTGTCAGTTGTTCTTATAATAGAAATCAAGCACGTGAAGTGGCTGCTATGAGGATTTCCAATAGATCTTTTTAATTATTATTATTATTATTATTAATTATTATTTAAGTCAGGATTTCACCTCTTTATATATTTTGCTACATGATGTTATTTTTGGCTGGTTTCAATTAATTGTTCAAGTTTAGAAGAATTTAATGTATTATTGAATTTATCTGAAATTTATGCTAATGTGAATGTTGTGTCATCTCTTGGATGATGGAGAAAGGAATAAATGAAAAATTTTAGTTTTGATCTTTTCCAGAAAAGATGAATATTTTGTCATTCAGTTTGGAACAGTATTTTCATTTATCTACGGCTGTCCATTAATTATGTGTATAGTTTCTGAGCCATTTTTAATTCTCTCCTTCCCTGTTGTATACAATGATTTACTTTTGATCCCCTCCTCTAATTACATGGACGGTAGTTTATGAACCCCTAATGTTGAAGACACAACTTATAAAATATTTGAAAATTATTTTAAACTGATACCTTATTCACATAACTAGTAAGTTGTCTTATAAGAACAAATTCATTAGCCATTAATACTGCTAAAAACATCCATATAGACAGCATCAACTTTTTCCTCCCCACAGTGTACAACAGTACTGTATAATTTTTTGCAACTCTCTTAAACTGTACATGGACAGCCCTCCTTGAAAAGTGTATTGATTCAAGTTTGTTTGTAATTATTGATGTCTGATGTAAGATAATTTTTTTTAACAAATTAATTGCCAAAATTTGCCAAATTAAGATTAGCAATTAGAAAATTTGAGTTATATGTAAGCATGTTATTTATTTGAACAATACGCTAACACCTTTAAGTTTCCAATTCACAAAAATTTAATCAAACAAATGTTTTTGGCTGTACTTGAAAGGTCTTCTTAGAACTTAATTTTGCCTAAGGTGAAATTGTATAAAGCAAATTGGCTTTTACTTGGATAAAATAGGTATTTATTTTATCCAGCTGGATGGTTAGGGAAGTAAATTGGTAAGTTGAATATGTCCTCCAGAACACTAGATTAGTACCTTCACTGCTTTGGCAATCTGACTAGCAAATTATTGCATCTGTAACTTGTGATTTACTGAATTGAAAATTGGTTGACAGGAGTTGAGACTAGATCATCCTTTCCTTGCTTTTTTGAAAGGTCCGGGTCAACGAATTGGCAATTTACTTTTTTTTCCCTCTGATGGCCCTGGCTGCATCCCCTCTCATGGGACCTGTCTATATATAGAAAAAATATAACCATGCTGATAGGAAGCATTATGCATCTACCATTTTCCAGATAATGCATACTTGACAACTATAACTGAATACCAATCAAAGTATTTGAATTAAAATTTTTAACAGATTTGAATGTTTTAGTCATTGAATCATTTAATTAGATCAATTGTATATCTTGATAAATTTTGGCAATTAACAGACTTTCATTTGTAAGTTATTACCTTTAAACAAATTTTGGTGATATTAATCATCAGTATGAAAATATTAATAATAGTTTTATTTCTAATGATTCTGAAATTAGTTCTATAATTTCATAAATTAACTTTTATTATATTAAATAATTTAATTTATCTCTATTAATAAAAGCAAATTATCGACAGTGAAGAAGTGTCTGGTTCTTGGGCAACCATCAATGGTCCGGAAAGCATCGGAATTTCTGATCTGAGTGGTGAACAGTTGTGGTTAAATGAAGTCGATCAAAAATTAGATGGCACCAGTGATCAAAAGGAGGAAATATATATGACGCTATTGGAGAAGATAGAAGAGGTAAAGCTTTGATATTTGTTAGAAAGTTATGTATTAGAAAATTGTAGGCAAATGCCCTACCATTTCCTAATTTCCCTACTTTGCAAACTCTAGCTTTGATGCATCATTCTGTGACCAGTATAAATTTTGTTTTGGTTGCATAAAATTTTTGATTTAATTGTTTACATTAATATTTTATTAGCCATCATATTATTCAATATGTTGTTTAAATTGCATTTTTAAGAATGAAAGATAATTTATAATATCAAATCAATCAGAAAATAGTATCATTTGTTTAATGACAGTTTTCCACAAACAGATCATAAAACATTATGCTGATGCAAAAGTATCTAACAACCTAGGCAAAGAAAATTTAGGTGCCCTTGCACATTATCTATATACAGAAGAATCTTGTTTTAACGAATTGCTCGAGCTGACAAAAATTATCCATTGTTCCGAGAATCTATTATATTGCAAATGATGGATTTCCCACACACCCAAGAAAATATCCATTATTCAAAAAAATTTCCATTTTTTTAACCCCTATATATAAGAAATACTAATACTTGAAATTATTCAATCTGTTGAGATCTCTATTCTTTATTTTATAGAAACACATATGCTTGTAACTTGTGTGTATATTATGCCATATATGATTGTATATTATGCCATACATATGTAGGACAAAGCTGACAGAAACTAGGCCTATATAATGTAAGCATAAAAAGAGAAAAATTACATATGCTCATTAGCACTTTGCTTGACTTCACGATTTGTTAAAAAAAACTCATTCACCTTGGTTTCTTTCGATGCCACTTTTCTGTCTATTGAATATAACACAACTTGACATCGGCAGTGTTATATACAGTATGGTCTGTTTGTTTTTGCCAAAACATGTCAGGAAGGTCTTCATGACTTAGAAATACTTAATGGCCTTGCTAAATTTTGGCACTACACCTGAACCAGCAACTGTGTTCGTTAGATGATTTCTCTTCAATCGTATTGGCCACTGACACTCTTTGTACAATTCTTCAATTGTACATATTCTAAATGTAACAAGTGCATCATCAAACTATACAAATTTCCCAGAAACACCCAAATATTAACTAAACGTTGAAAAACTATCAAATTTACAATATATTTGGGGTAGAAAAGAAATCTGTTATTCCGAGAAATCTGTTGTTTCACAATTCATTAAAATGAGATTCTACTGTGTATGTATATGTATATATATATATATATATATTTGTGTGTACATGTATATACCTAAACATGTGGATATTTATAAAAATAACATCATTATGAATATTTTAAAACATTTTTAATAATTAACACTAATTAATGATCTATCTTTTCGTTAAGAATAAGGCTGGCACCCTTAAGTAATTGCCTAGGTTTGTCTAATGGTAAAACTGGCCCCAGGTTTACTAAGCATGTATACAAATTTTAAAATATATATTGTATTTTTTTTTATTCTAAGACCTGCTTTGACTTTTAAATTGAATTTTAAGATATTTTATTTGGAAACTTTGACTTTTAAATTGAATTTTAAGATATTTTATTTGGAAAAGTTTTTAAATAATTAATTTTATTAAGTGTGTTTTTATACTAATTTTACATTAAGAAAAACAAAGAAAAATATAAGGTAATATTTGGCATCTCCATTTCTATGTTCAACATATACAATAACTGTTGATTTTAATGCTGTCTGAAAGGCTTTCTTATATCCATATACCCAAATTGGCACACCATGTTATGTACAGTACTTGCAATGACTGCCATTTGTCTTAGCCCATGAATATAAGTGTGACAATGCCGAAGGGCCTCCCTATACTTCGACACCACGTGACCGAAGGGTCGACATCGCGTCGGCGAAGATTGCAATGACAAGTTTCGTCAGGACTGACACTGCTGTGTCTTTATGGACAGACACAGAAACCGTTGTGTTCTCGCGTAAATGATTGCATGGGTGAGTGAACGGATTCTGGATGGAGGGAGAGACAGCGCACCGGAAGTGACTTACTCAAAGACGGGTTAACGTAACAACTATTTAATTGGTAACTATAGGCCATACAGGATATAAAATATATCAATTTGAAATATGCTAGCTGTTAGAGATCTCTGCTACAATTGATATTAGATATAGATAATAGACACTAAAATAGATCTAAGATTTTGGTTACAGTTCCACGGTTCTTGAGAGAGAGTTTACAGAAGTTGTGTGGCGATAAATACCTTGAGTTTTAGTGAGTTGCTAGTAGGTCTTGACAACGAAGTTAGTCCAGTTAGGCAATCAAGTATTTTGGGTCGATGTTAATCCAGAGAATAGGCACTTAAATAAGTCCGATGGTCCAGTGAAAAGCACAACGCACACGGAAAAAGATACAGAACTTGAGACTGATCTCTTTGAGGACAGGGCGACGACTGCATTACTCTGTTGTTCTGTTTTAATGTTGTACTGTTGAAATCGAGATAGTAGGTCAAAAGGTGATGAGAAAGCGTGGTTATTAGGCCTGAGAACTTAACAGATGTTTTTCTCCCAGGTGTGAAAGTTGACAGTTATTTATCAAGTTTATAGTTATGATGTGACGTTATGAACAAATGATGTAAACACACGGAAAGTCTGGATTCGGATCCTCACATAAGTCATTATTGATTCTAAGATGCATTTCTACTTCTAACAAGTAAAAAATAAGTTCAGAAAAGTACATCTAGATATACTTAAAATTAGAGATTCTAAACATTGGACTAAAAAATTGTTATATGTAAAATTTATTTTATCTTCTAGTGCATTTAAAACTATTCAATTTATCATTTTGCCAAATTGAATAGTGCTCAAAAAATTAGTTATTCTCTTATACGGCAAAAATGCATTGCTTAAAAAGCCAAACTCTTTCAGAATTCCGAAAATGACGAATATTTATGGCGGCTGGCTAAAGCAACTCATCTGCAGGGAATTATGGCACAGAAACAGGATGATTTTGAAAAGAAAAAAGAGTTAGCTTTCGAAGGTAAAATTTTTATATTATTTGAAGATGATATAGCATTATTTAAATTAATTTTTAAAAATTTAATAAAATTTATTTGAAATTTAGATTTCTAATTTTTTTGCTAATTAGTCCCAAATTACTATTTCAAAATATTTTTGTTCTCTGTCATAAAATAAATTTGAAAGCGATGCATATTATTGCTTAAAAGTAGTAAACTAATGTCAGATAAAAAGCTTAAAGCATGAAATATGTACACTGAGAGTAAATAAGAAAACCATATCTAAAAATGATAAATATTGAAAAAATGAAATTAATATGTTTACTTTAGCATTTCATAAACAGAGAGATGTATTGATTATTTATTCTTTTGAGAGAATAGACGACACGATAAAATATTAATCAAAGATTTTAACGATAAAGTTAACTATGTGTTTCAGTGTACCGAAATATATCAAAACATTTTATAAGAGGAATCTTATATAGAAATTTGGATACTTTTCAAAATTTTCTGCCTACAGGCACTAAGAAGGTCTTCCCCTTTGTGGGCATGTCTGGGCTAATGGTTAGATGGTTTTCAACACCCATATGCTGCTTGTGAAAATTTCCAAGCCGGCCAGGATACAAATCTTGTTCTCTAGAATTATGGACTGATGCATTTGGTGCTTTGCCATATGATCATCTCAGATGATTGGAGAAAACTTATATTTCAAGAGCAAATAATTTTTAAAATTAGCTGTTTTGGTACCATTAGTTATGCAAATTTCATACTTTTAAAATTATGTAAGAAATCACAGTGAATTGAGTTTATTTGTAACTTTTTTCATTTTTTGACTCTGTTTGCCTTGTGGGCTTTAAAAGAGCCTTTTAATCTTGCTGGTTTGCCGGGTCGGGCTCATGATAGGATGGCCAACTGGTAAGACATAGGGTTTGACATAGCCCGGTTAATCCACTCCTGAAAAATTTGAAGTGATTTAGACTGGAAACTATGACTTGGATTTTAGTCTGGGTTGGACAAATAGATAAACATCTTTGGCCCTCTGGTCACCTATGACCATTGCTTTGAGCATCTGGTCATCTCTGTAACTAAAACTGTGTTGTCAGCACCCTCTTAAACAAACAGCTTTTATATAAAGTAAAGGTATCATTGATGTTTACATGCTCCTGTCCAGAATAACCATTATTTGTTGCCAAAAGAAGTTTTGTAATAATTGATTTTACTCTGTGTGTATTTCTGAATTGCATGAATATGCATCATAGTGTTCCAATATATTATTTGGCATAAATTATCTTTTTTTCAGGAAATGATGAAGAACTTTGCATTCTGTTAACTTCACTCGAAATAGTAATCTCAACTACACCTGCAGCATTGGATAAAGTCAAGATTACCATTTTGGATGATTGTATAGCAATAATACTATACTACAAACTAAATGAACACTAATGACTAAAATTTGGGTTGACACATTTATGTCAAAACAGTATCCATTGACTATGAAAATAACTAATTTGCATATTTATGTATTAATGATATCTTGGAACTCGAATGTCCTAGAGCAGGGATGGCGAACCTTTTTGAGTCTGCGTGCCACATAGTAAGCATACTTTTCTTTAAAAATGATTATGCATGCAGAAGTTTTAGATTTCTAGTAACTATATTTAAATTTGGCGGAATGGCTGAGTGGTCAAAGTGATAGCTTATCGTTCTTGTGGACCCGAGATCTAAACCACAGAAAATTTTCATGTGGTGATTCGACTGTTCCATTTGGAGTTAGCTAAATAAAAAAGCCCTCTTAGTGCCCACAGGGCAAAAAGAGTTTTAAAAAACTATAATTAAATAAATAAAATAATATGCTGTAATTAGAGTAAATGTAAAGAACCTGATTGAAAAAGATAATAAACTGATATCGTATAATACGTTACTTGCTGGATGATTTCTTTGATGTGCCAATTTGGGCACGCGTGCCATAGGTTCGCCACCTCTGCCCTAGAGGTTGAACAACTTTGAATCTGAACACTTTTTTTTTTGAGGAAATTTTACCCTGACAGTTGAACTTGAAATAAATAAAAATGGTCATACTGTATGGTGTGTGTTATCTGTATGGGTATGCATGATTTGTCAGCATTTCCAGATTAGATTAATTTTTATTTTTGGCTACAACAATGAAAATCTGTTATTTTTCTAAATGCACGTTGCCCAGAAATACAATCCTGCACATAGTGGCCTAGGTTATGTACGGTAACTATAACACCATTGATACAAATTTGGGACACATACTGAACAGGTGGACTGACATTCTGAAAGCATCCTTGCATAAATTGGTTTCTTACTTGCTGTAATTTTGGTGCTTTTTTTTAAATAACACCCTGTGCATTTACCTAAGAAGAGTGTTGAGACTATGAAACCTCAGAGAAAGCTTGAAAGAGTGATAATTAAAGTAAAAAAAGAACTCATCACTAAGCATGAGAGTGGTGTGTCTGATCATGTGATTATGTATGGGATGCCAAAGTCAACTGTATATGTGCTGCATTGTTAACTTTTTCATTGTCTTGATCTATTTGTTTTCTGCATTAATTAGAGCATTTACTTGTGTTATGCTATTTTAGCTTAAATTATATTTTAGAATTAAAGTGGGCATTTTTGGGTTTTGGAATGGACTAATTCAACTTATAACTATAATAAACCTTATAAATAAACAAATGTTTTAGACATTTAAGATGTCGTCATCAGGTTTAGATAGAATGGAATTCAAAACAGAAGATAGAATACAATTTGAAAATTAAAGGTTATCTGATTGAATGAAACCTAAAATGTCATAGATGAGGTTGTTGCATTCAAAGGAAAATACCATGTGTTGAACTAAAAGGATTGATTTATCTACTTATTTTCGATTACAATAGGAAAAGCCTTGTGTCAATAGATTTCCTCCCACAAATTAACAGTAGATATTTTGAATAGAGTGAAATACCATGTGCTGGAAAAGGTCTCAGCCTTGCTATGGTTGATTGCAGGGTTGTTTGTATTACATCCAGTTCTAAGTTAATTGTGTTTCACTGTACATTATTCCTTACAGGAAAAATTACTTTGCAACTTGAATACCCTCTAGGAATGAATTGAATTCGAGATCCAAGGTGCCACTGTTTTTTTCGATGATTGCTTTCATAAACCAGTTGAAACTATTATGTTAATCAGAAGTTTACATTACTTTGATAATTTGTTAAATTGGAACATTATTATATCAAGATGTATAATACGAGAAATTGGCAGGGAATCAAAAATAAATTTATTTTACCAACAGTTTCATTTGTACTGGTGTTTGTTACAATGACATTTTATGGTAACAATGTGAAAACAAATGCTCACAATTACTTTTAGTAAACATTGTTGGGTTTCATTGAAATTTAAGTGTATGCGTGTACATGTCACAATAAAATAAAAGTTACATATACTAAAATATTTAAAAACTGATAATTAAACATAATCTGATATTAACATTATTCATGATATAATAAGTTTGCACTTTACGCCGACGTATACTATTATTAGAACACTTACATGCAGTGGCGTTACAGGAGTGGAATTCCTGATCCGGAAATTATCTGACTTTTGGAGAAAGGTTTTCCGCTGGCACTTTCAGTAGTGTAAAACTACCATCATCAGGCGGTATATAGAATTCGATAGTTTAAGCTTTCTGAACGATGTTCCGACGGTTTTTAAAAAAATTTTTTTCAATATCGAATATTTCGAACAATATTTCTGATGGTTCGGCTGATTTTGGTTTTTGAATATTATTTAAAGGTTCTTATGTCATAGCGCGTAGAAATGATGATAAATAAATATTAACGTGAGAAATGTCTGTTAATGAACATAGTTCGTTCAAGTATGCGCACCAATGCAAAATAAACATATAAGCAACGAAGGAGTATTTTTATCTTGAGTTGAGTTGTTTGAACGCTGTTATCCAAATTTGTAGGAGCTCAAGAGTTGGGGAGTTGCATGGTATTCAATTTCGCCTGAAGATGACGGTTGTAAACTGTCGAAAGTACTAGCGAGCACGTCTGGAATTTAACAAATCGCTGTCAATAACGCCACAACATGGAAGTGTCAAATTTTTAACATGGTATAGTAGTAGAAATATAGTGTGTCTCCCAAATAAATAGCTCTTTTTGTTCGTTGCAGCATTTTAGTAATTTTGTTTCATTCCATAGAAACTGGTAGTTGTGGTCGAGTACTTTCTTTGCTAATTCTGTGACTGGCCTATTATTTTTAATGTCTTCTTGATGTTCATGGATTCGTGAACTTAATTTTCTAGCAGTAGCTCCTATATAATTAATCTCTTCACCAGTTAGTGTGTGCTTTAGCAGGATTTGGTGGATACCGGATTTTTCATTCAACTGGTACTTATCCCTATCGTTACATAGCAGTCTTCTTAGATTTGGTTGCGGTGTAATTGGTAGAATATAACCATTACTTCTAAAAAGATGTGCAATTTTTAAGGAGATAGGGCCTAAGTAGGGTATCGGGGGTGCACTATTTTTAAGTCTTCCTTATTGGAAAGGAAAGATTGTGGAAATAAACTGTTTTTTACACGATTTTTTAGAAAAATGAATTTTGAATGTGAGTAACCTGCTTTTAACATGGTAGATTGAATAATGGATAATTCATTTTCAACTAGCACCTGCGTAGAAGGGAGAAAGTAAGCTCTCCGTATTAGCGAAGATATAGCTGAGTTTTTGTAATGTGGTGGTTGGTAAGTGGCGGCTGGAATGATTTGTGGAGTATTATTATTTGGATGATGGACGGAAAATATAAGCTCCGGAGATGTATGTATATCTAAGTCCAGGAAAGATATTCTATTATTTTCTTGCTCTTTGACAGTAAAATTAATTGTAGGATAAATAGAAGCTAATATTTGAGTAAATTAAAGCAAGTCCTCATTGGAACTATCCCACGCAATTAGCACATCATCAACGTACTGTAGATACATGAGAGGATATTGGATTGTTAAAGGGGCATTGAAAACCCGATGTTCTATATTTCTCACGACCAGTTTGGCTAGAATAGGAGATAATGGGGAGCCCATTGGTACGCCTTGTGTTTGTTTATATATATGTTCATTAACAGACATTTCTCACGTTAATATTTATTTATCATCATTTCTACGCACTATGATGTAAGAACCTTTAAATAATATTCGAAAACCAAAATCAGCCAAACTGTCAGAAATATCGTTTGAAATATTTGATATTGAAAAAAATTTTTTAAAAAACCGTTGGAACATCGTTCGGAAAGCTTAAACTATCGAATTCTATGTACCGCCTGATGATGGTAGTTTTACACTACTGAAAGTGCTAGCGGAAAAACCTTTCTCCAAAAGTCGGATAAATTTCCGGATCGGGAATTCCACTCCTGTAATGCCACTGCACGTAAGTGTTCTAATAATAACATTATTCATTTGTGAGCTTTTTCATGTATTCATAATTTTGCATATACTGGACAAGGAGTTTGCATTTTATAGGTTGATATGGTTGCCCATATATTTTTGTTTGACAATATCTTTTCTCTGCTCACAATTAGCTGAATGTGGATTTTGAATTGCTCATGATTGATATTCATGGCTTAGTCCCTTGGTCTTTTGTAAACATTTACATCTCAAAAACCTTTTTCCATTTCTTAAAAGAATTTCTTTTGTATCTTCATAATTCATTTTGTGTTTATGGCATCAAAATTAAGCAGTTTTTCTGTATTTTTAGATGTTAACATACTTTTGACTCTAAAGTTAAAACACCATCCTATCATCATAAAATTGTTGTGCAAAAATGGTTTTATTACTGCTTGTGCAATTGTGTGTTCTGTTTTAACCTCCTTTTGTTTTATTCTTTGTATTTATATGCCCATAAATATGTAAATTTTATTGTACGATACAATCATACCTATATGTAATTTTATACACTTAATGTTTGTTACATTGTACTAGGTAAGAGTGCATTTAATAATAAATAAGCAATTCCAAGTGTTACAAGTATGATTTTTTTTGTGATTGGCTCCAAGCTGGCCAGTGGCAAATAATGAACACTACATGGTGTATAAAGCATAGAGGAGAAAGTGTGTATTTTGCTGCTTTTAAGTTTTAACAACTTGGATACAATAGCAATGAAAAAACTTCATTTAATATGATTTTCCTTAACTTTTAAGATAGTATTGCCCCACATATTTATGCAGGCATCTGTATTGCATGTTATATTTTTATCATCCAAATGATCATGCCCTGTTTTAATATTGTTCAGTAGTTTTACAGTATCATTTTCTTTGGTTTATTCCTTATTCACAATGCCTAATACTAATAAATCCCTTTTTATGAGTATACTTCTAAGAAAATGCATCATTCATTTAGTATTGTACTTTTTTGCCATTTGTTCTCTTTTGTTGTTCTGTAATTCTCACTGTCTTACTAATATATTAATATAATTATTACTAAATAAGTATATTTATATTGAAATGCTTGTTTAATAAATAATTAAATATTATTCTTACTTGTTTTTATTGGCAAGTACCGATTTCACTAACCGATAGTCTCTTTATTGTATTTAGCATTTAAGTATGCCGAAAAGGCTCTCAAACAAAATAGCATAAATCCCGAAGTGCATAAATGGTATGCCATTACGATCGGGTCTTTAGCGGAATATGTTGGTGTTCAAGAAAAAATTCAAAATGGTTATACTTTTAAGGTGAATATTTTTATATTATTTCTTATTCTTCATTCACACAAAGTTTATCCTGGAAATGTTAATGCTGATCATTTTATATATATATATTATATAAACTGCTGCTATTATCTCTCTTCTGTAAGGAGAATAATGGCATCTAGTCAGTGATCCAACAAAGGGACTACTTGCTTACTATATTGACATGTAATATTTTATTGACTGTTGACTAAAATTTTGATCTTTTTTAATTTTCTGTTATAATAATAATTTAAATGTTTCTGTAACAATATGTTCCCTTAATACTATAATATCATTATTACAACAAAATGCTCAATTGTGCATCCCATTTGATCCCTAGATGAGAGGAAAAGTGGATGGATAAAACTGAATACTGGGTTTGTGTCTGGCCAACAGGCTAGCCACATGAAGTTTTCTTCACGTTTGTAACACCTAAATAGGGAATGGTTTCCTATAGAAAGTTTTCCTGGGAGGCAGCCCCCTCAGCAGATCACCCACATGTCACATTGCCATATACAAATCAAACTAAATGTATGCATCTTTTATTGATACAATTTAAAACTGAAATGAAGTATATTATATGGGTTGTTTGTTTGTTTAATAATTACTTAGTCTTTTACAGATTAATTTTACATAAAAACATGACAATACATCTTATTTTCAGAACAAAATACAGAAAGATATGACTAAACTTGAAATCATTTTCAATGCGACATGAATGCCTCTCCCCGTACATCAGAATGATCTGGATTCATTCCTCATGCATTAGATGCACTCAGCATTGATTTGACACATCCGATAAAGGAGAAACTGGTTAGATTCATTTCTTCAAAACCTTCTACAAATTAAAATTAGGTACAGAAAAATTGCACCATATCATTTTGAAATTCTGTTTTCATTTCACATATCGCACAACTCGATTCCCATTTAAATATTTTGAGGTAAATTAGAGATTGTGTCCGTCCAACCTACTTGCACAAAGACCGTTGCCCTAGGCATAACATATTTATATCGTGTCAAAATTTCCTCCATCCAACTCTGATTTACGTGTGTGTTAAATGACTTTTGACTCGCCCTGTATAACAAACGATTATATAAGTAAAAATCACAAATAAACTATACAGTATTTTAAAAATAAACTTTTTAATAGCTTCATCACACACACAATCTAACACCATAATATTGCAGTCTTTCGTTACTTTTCTGCTTAAACTGGAGCAGAAGCAAATGGAAGAATTTAGATCCTTTGAATTGAATGAGTGTCGAAAGTTACCCAACATGCTATTCTAGAATGCAGAGAATTGGTTTAACTTTAAATCATGGCAGACGTATTCCAAACAACATTAGGAATTCGAAAAGTTCGTTTTGGTATTGGGGCTCAAGAGACAAATGAAGAAAGTCAAAAAGTGGTTAGTCATTTTGGTGGTGGTTTGTTTCTACAGACGCAAGTTTAAATAGAAAGGTAACAAAATAACTTTGTCCCATTTTGCATTCATATTAAAAAGAAAATACTTTATTCACTGTAATAGAAATGTTATATATATATATATTACACATATATACAGTAATTACCTGTATGTAGAAAACAGCCCAAACCTTAATTAGCCAAGTTATAGCCCAATAATAAATTTGATAATTAAGTATAACATAAAACAAGCTACTTATGATTGGTGAACATCAGATAAATGATGTCAAAGCACATGATTTTTGAATCAAAGTAGATTTACTTTTATAAACATCAATTTTTTTTGTACTAAAATATCTAAAGAATATCCTTGCCAAGTAGCCAATTACTTACCTTTTTATATTGAAATAAATCCTTGTCTATTGAGTTTAAAAACACATGTAAGTCTTATAAGAACTTTATCAAATTAGAAAAATATAATTAAGATTGAAATGAGAGTCAAACCGATAAATTTAGTCTTTCTTAATGAATGCTCTATTTGATTCATTAGTGAGGTTGAGGTTGTGTACGTTGTATGTTCAATGCCACTTTCCTGTAAGCCTAGAAGTTTGACAATGGTGTTTGGAATGTCGAGCATGATTCCACTGACTATCCAAACATCATTGTCAAACTTCCTAGGCTTACAAGAAAGTGGAGCTGAACGTCCGACATAAACGTTTTCACGTTTAAAACTTCAGCCTCAACCTCGCTTTTTATATGTTTGGTCTACTTGTAATCGGACATTTTTGTTGATAATTATGAAAATCTCTACTATAAAATGTGGAAACTTTGTTGTTCAACCTCCATATTTTGTTGTCTTCTTATCCACTGTAATGAATGAGTGTCATGTGACTGGACGTGCTGGAATTTTGTTTACCACTTTTGAGATTTTTAATTGTACATTTGATATTGTAAAATGTTTCATGTCTAAGAAGGATAGAAAATAACAGCATGTGGATTATAGACTAAATTATTTATCAAAAAAGACAAACTTTATATTATTCATGGATAAAATATTAATACATTTTTGTATTAATATTTTTATAATGTTAGCATTTTGAGTTTCCTATTTTATTTCAAACTTCTGTGTTAAACATTGAAGGTTATGGAAGTGGTGATGAGTTGAAGGATTTTTTTCATTAACTTATGTACAGTAGCCTCCACTTATTGTAATCGTGGATCATAAGTTCTTTTCGTGCTATCGGCCTGTGTCCTAACAACATGCAATTGTTATCAATCTTAACAACATTGTTTTAATTGTTACTTCTTGCCATACGTAACAATACGATAGTGTAACAGTAGCAATTTAAGCTATTGTTAAAGTTAGTACTAATGTACAATACCAGTCAGATTAGATATTAATTAATAAATCTCCAAGCTGTATAGTTTTAATTGTTTTAGCAAGCCCTTTCTAATGTTAGAGTTAGTGAAATCAGAATAATCTGTAATTGTAGTATTACTTATTGGTTCAGGCAAGTCCCAGACTAAATAACATTAAGCAAAGTGATTATAAACACAGTAGATTCTGCTTATTGTAATGTTTATAGTTGTTCATCATGTGACATTATTTGAGGATTTTCATTTGTTCTTTCTGGAAAAACATTTTTTGCAAGAATGGATTTACAAATTCAGATCAAGACTTTAATGTTTGGCCAAAGATTTTTTGGATGGTGCTAAATTAGAATAATTCAATATTACAGACAGATAATACTACAAATCAATGTATTACTAAATAATAAATAAAATTATTTGGTTATAAATTTGATTTTTGAAATGTTTATTTTACTAAGTTAATGCCGTAACATGCTTGTGTCAAATTTTAGTTTCTGTTAAATTAAATTGGATAAACTTTATCTTAATTTCCACGAATGAATAAAATGTATTTTAATGCCGATAACTTTGCCGTATCATCACACGAATGTTTGTATTTTGTAGAAACACGTCGATGAAGCACTAAGATTAAAGCCATTGGATCCCACTCTCCACCATATGTTAGGAAGATGGTGCTATGAGGAATTTTAACATTTCTTTAAAATTCTTACTAATTCTTACAAAGTAATTTTAATTAGTAATTAAAGATTATTTACTACAGGTAGCGATGCTGACGTGGATAGAAAGAAAGATAGCTTCAACATTGTTTTCTACGCCTCCTGAAGCAACTCTTTCCGAAGCCAGGCAGCATCTCATTAACGTAAGTTTGTTAATTAATTATTACTTAAATATCTTAAGTTAAAAATACATTTGGAACATTATAAAAGTATTCAAATTTACTAATACTTTTGAAATGTACAAGTTTGATATTAAAATTTTTTGAAAGGAAGCAAGTATATTCATATATAAAACTCGTAGCAATTCAAACAACAAAATACTTTAATGGAATAATAAACACATTTAAACACACAAAATTGATAAGCACTTCCATATCGTAACTCATTTTGGACTGAATTTGTTGTCATTATGCATTGTTTATGTGAGGATCCATGGCCATTATTTTTTATAATTTGAGGAATTATAAAATTCCTCAAATTATCAACTAAGCTAGGAATTGTAAATTTAAACAGGAAAGATTTTCTCTCTGATTTCATCTCTGTCAAATATGACACATCTTCCCGAGATTGCTACTAATCAGGGAAACTGTTTAAAATGAAATTGGTCACATGACACCTCGGTTGCATTAGCATAAAGCTGTTTTAAGAAACTACAAACTCAAGTTTGTTTTTAACCATTTCTGAAAAATTCTTAAAAAGTCTGTTTCAAGATTTTTTGTCAACCAAGGCTTAGCTTCAGTTGCTACTAAACCTCAGTAGCATAATCATGTGTTATTTTGAAAATTAGGAACCAGAAATTCAGTTTTAAAGGTGAGCTGTGAAGTGATTTTATTATTCCATTAAAGCACTTTATTGTATAAAATTTTGTATTTTGAATTTCTGCATGTTTAACACATTAATTCTTAACATTTTATGATTAAAATTAGCAATAGTTTATTCTTCAAATATTTTCATAGGAATAATTACTTAACTGATTTACAATTGACATAGAATGTAAGTTTTTAATAATCATTTAATGTGCACATAGTAAAACTGCTATTGCATTTCTTAAATACTATTCTATTAGAAATGGGTGTTAAAAAAAAATCACACAAATATGTGAAACACATTTAATTGTGCTTCCAGTACTCTCACTTCTTACATTGTTCCATTCCATTCTCAACTTTTATAAGACTGCAAACTTCTTTAGGAATTTTAAAAGAACATTTCTTAATGGAAGGCAGTGGATGACAGTTTGTTCCATTCCATTTTGACTCCTGAAGAAGTTTACGATGTAATGAGCAAGGTACTTGAAGTCTGATTAAATCTGTCCATTCACATTTGTCAGATTTCCTTTTATGCATTTCTTATGTATTAATTACAGAAATCAGCGGAGACATACACCACAAACTACTTGTTTCATATGGGCGTTCCTAAAAATGTGTATAAGTCGAGCAGTTGAGCTAGAAATAAATATTTACTGTAAAAACATGAGACACTTTTATAAATTATTTTAAATGTTCTTAAGAAGAAAAAGATTTAAAGAGAAATATTTTACAAGTAGATGAAACAGACTAATTTTATAATTCCTGCAAAAATCATAAAAGCAAACATAATTTTTATTCACAAGTGCATCTTTAAAGTCTTCTGGACTCTTAACTTCTTTTTATAACTAACAAACCCTTACTTCATTCAAAATAATTGTATTAAGGATTCATTAATTCCTTATTTTAAAAATCTTAATTTTCTGATTCCCTATTGTTAACATTGGCAAAATTTTTTTTGATAAAATTAAAATCTTTATTTGTAGTTTCTCTTAGCTTTGTATGAAACATTTCATTCGGTCTAGGAAATCAAGTTAGAGAGATATTTCATCATATAAAAATTTTATTTGCTGACCATTTTATTGATTTATTTAAAATATTTTTAGATTTAAGAAATGAATGATAAATTTTTACATTGTACAAATTTAATTTCAGGCAGATAATATAAAATCAGATTGGAAAGAAAACATTCTTTTTATTGCTAAAGTAAGTTACTTTGTATTTTTGTTTTAGATATTACATAATTATTGAAATAAATATCTGAATGAAGAATAACATTAAGTTTAATTTTATAATTGATTCACCATTAATCTTGATTACTTTGAGCAAGTGTTAATTTACTATTATATAAATTTCCAATAATTACCAATTATGTGGTTGAGTCTTTTGAGAGCCGTGGATGTGCAATGTCCTAGTTTGGCATGGCAATCCCATTTGAATATTAACAAATTGTTGTAACCCTAGCATTGAACTTTGGAGTTCAATTTTTCCTTCAAAAAATAACACAATTATTTTGGATCTGAATTGTTGTCTGATAGCTTTAACATATCAGTGAAATTGCATGCTGAAATACTAGAATTAGCACACATGGCAAAGATTATAAATAAAATAAAATGCAAGACTACTTGAATTGAGATTCAACTTTTGAAGTAGTTGGCTAGATTTTTTCCAAATGGGACGATTAGTTTCGACTAATGTCGAAAGCTCTAAGCTTTTTGTTTGCTAAAGTTTTGCTACACGTTATACAAAAATCCACGTTCTAGAAATCCTTTGGGTTGTCTTTTTGGATAATTTAGTTATTTTTCAGTGTATTTTTTGCATTATTTTGGTTTTGTTTTTGTGGTTGGTGGAAGTTGTTCTTCATAATTATCTGCTTATGTTTCTGAATAAAGCATATATGTTAATTTAATTCAAATAAGAAAAGTATGTAAGTCTTTATTATTCCATAAGTGCAGACAAAAAATACATAAAATATTTTGTAAAAATAATAATACAAACATGAAAATGTATAGAAGTCAAAAGAGCTTCAGGTGTAATTGAGCATCACCATTTCACTATGTGTAAAGCTTGCTGATTTAAAGCACCAAAAAAATACCCATATTGCATATTTCTATTTATACAAATCTAGTGGAGTCACCCAAATAAAATGATGTCAGTGAATCATATGAGTGTTTTCACACACAAATAAAATGTCAGTCAATCAGTGCATGCGGAAACCAAGTTTTAGGCCAATAATTGCACAGAAGTGTCAAAAAAATTATTTTCATTACCAAATAATTATTAATAATATTTTATTCTATATTCAAGTGCAAATAAACTGATTATTTTTTTTATTGTAAATTGAAATCTTCTCCAATTGAGTGATGCTAAGATTACTTAGTATCTAGATTGACCACAGTTGGTAGAATTGCAGTTGCTGTTTTCTTTATGAGTGACTACACTTTTCCAAAATAAGAAACAGTCATTACTAGCAGAATCAGTGTTATCAATGAAAATTCCTAATGAAAATAAAATTTGAAACTGGCACTATTCCCATTTTAAAATCTTTTAATGTTTCTGAAATGTTAAAGCATGTCAGAGATCTAAGTAGCATAACTAGTAATGCATCTGCATGGTATGTGGATTCGAGTCCCACTCTGGATCAATCTTTCCAGAAGCAATTAACCCTTCGGTGGGCGCCCCCGCGGCAAATTGCCGCAAAATAATAATAAATTCGTTTGTTTGACGTTGTACTTAATTATTGTGGAAATACGTCATAGTATTCTCTCTTCATATTACAAGTTACAATTTATCTTTGAAATCGGGTCAGTTATGCTAACCGTTTAGCTGTTACTGGACTTTGAATCAAGTCGTACCTAATTTGCATTGTAATTGCCGCTACGCGCCCTGTCATGTAACTAAAATATCAGTATACGTTTATATATATGTGTTTAATTTTTTTAATAAAATAAGTCAATATTTGCAAGTTTATTAAATAAATATATTAAATTAACACTATTGTAAGTTTCTATAAATTTTTAAATTTATATTAGTTTATATTTTTCAAAAATATAAGGGAAACAAAGAGCAATCCAAAGTAGCGGCAAAAACCTAGAATTTGTTTTATTTGTGGCATACTCAAAAACAATAGGAAAAAATCAATTTGTCAGAAATGAGTAGAAATATTTGCAAGAAGAATCGGAATATGGTGATTATATGTGCCATGTGTGAAAGTGAACATCTCATGAATATATAGTGACTATTTTTATTATCTAAATATTTTATAAACAATTTGTTCATTAAAATGCCATAAAAATAGTTTTCTGGTATATCTGAATCATATTTTCAAAACGATAATTAATTATTGACTTAAATCAAGTAATATTACATATGCGGTGCAATTGCCGTGACGCGCCCTCTCATGAGATCCTGAAAGGCGCGTTCCCCGAAGGGTTAAATTTGTTTACCAGCCATAATCATGTTTTTTTTTCAAGATATTAATTAATAACAACAACTCAATAAAATTTGTATTAAATTTCATTAATTAGTTTTTTGAAAAATTCTGGATTTATCAATTTCTTATCACAACAGAATTCCTCCTATAAATCTTTTTGATGCTCAAGAATTTTAAACACAATCATTTTGACCAAACTTATTAGACAGAGAAGCTAAAAAGTTTTGTACAAGTTTTACTCTCAATTGTAATTACTAAATGTGTATCATTGCATTTCCTAGTTCTCATCTGGTAGTAAAGTGCATTTGCTTTTTTTAACAAATTGACAAAATCTTGTATTCTTCCACTTTTAAATAAACTTTGTAATGAAGAAGAAACAAAAACAAACATTAAATTAAGTTATGATTTATTAGTAATAAATAAATTTTGTGTGAGAATGCTCGATAGAGATAATTTATTTTATATTAATATATGAAAGTTAAGCTGTATAATATAGTTTAATTAATAACAAGACATTACCAAATCTTAAAGGTTCTTGATCCTCTAGTTTATACTACAAGTTCTTAATCATAAGAAAGAAAATTAGTAGCAAGTCTGCAACAGGTTGACATTCAAAAATCCAGACATAAATAATCTGGTTCCTTCAGATTTCCAGCATGGATTTCGGAGCACATTTTCAAATTTAGTTAGGCAACTCCAGAAAACAATGTGGTAAAATTCTGTAGAACTGTTTTATTTAGTTGAAGAACATTAAAATTTAATTTGCTTTTCATTTAGTGTTTAATTTTCTTTCTTTAAAGGATTATACAAGTAATCATTTCCTGTTAAATATATACAGAATACATAACTATAAAAATCCAGCATGCCTTGTGTCTGGAGGTTGCCAGATTTTTTAATTTCAACCTATTTTGTTTTAACATTTTCTTTTTTTTGCATTGTTTGATAGCATAATAATTAACACAAGAAAAAATTCAGAATGAGACAAAATCTCAAAAATATATTCAAAAGATCAGTTGCCTAACATTAACATTTTTTAAAATGTCCACAGATGAAAATCTGTGATCATCAAAAGTCAGTGGGCACAACATTTTATTAAAACCAAAACGATGCTAAGTTTGCACATTCCCCAGGCAACTGGAAATTCAAGGGACAAAATAATTGCAACTTCAAATTATCGAGTTTAGAATTATCCAAGATTTGACATTTTGTGCAGAAAATATGTAAATGTCATATAATTGAAGTAATTTATTAAGGTAACTTTCTGTATATGTAGCTGTATTCTATATTCATTAATTAATAATATAAACAAACAGCACGTGTTCGGTGAGAACTTCACGGGTTCCATATAAATTTCACAAAGAACAGAATTCCTCAAAATGTAGCCCAAAAACTAATTATGTTGTCCAAATGTAGTAGTCTAAAGCAGTGTTCCTCAACCTTTTTCTACTGGCGGCACACCAAAATGTTATTCCCCTCAAAAACGTATGATATGATACTATTAATAGAATTTCATAATGCCATAAACCTATTATTATGTTGCATTTTGTGAGTTACGCTCAGTTGACACCGATGGCTGTGTACTATGCCAGACCAGAGTCAAGGCATAGTAACTTCAAAACAAGACAGAAATTAAATAAGTGTGTCAGTGTGTGTCTGTATTCAAGAATTTCCTAACAATATGACACGTATTCAATATAGTGGCTTTCTGTAGTGTGATGTATGTGTTTCTATTCAATTAATTGTAATGTTCCCAGGCTTTTGTGTAGCGTGTGCGGTATGACACCTGTAGAGGAGAAAACGACAGGTACAATAAGCACCCTATCCATCTTCCATAGATGCCTTATTTCCTGGGTGAGTTCTGTGTACAGTACTTGCTGATTTTTTCGGTGCATGTGTTTTGTATATTGTAAGTGTTTGGAATGGATACGTCTATAATGTATATGATTTTATTGTGTTTGTCAACGAGTGTGATGTCTGGTCTGTTGTGGTAAATTGTTTTATCTGTGATTATGGATGATTATGTACATTTTGTGCGTATCGTTTTCCAATACTGTCTGTTGAATGTATTTGTAGTATGGTTCATGGATGTCTAATAATTTATGTTTCATTGCAAGCTTTTGATGTATTTGCTACTTGATTATGTCTATGTAAATTGTGCCAAGAGCTTGCAACCAGAAGTGATATGTTGTATGGTTTCCGGCATGATGTGACATTTTCTGCATGTGTCATTTGTGAGTGTTGTATCTTTGAGTATGTGTTTTCTGTAGTTGTTAGTATTTATGACCTGATCCTGTATGGCAATCATGAATCCTTCCGTCTCCCCAAAGAGGCATCCCCGATCTAACCAGCTGTTTGACGCAGTTTTGCCAACAAAATTCTGGGCCAGGTCATAAGGATGCCTGCCATGGAGTGCGTTTCGAGCCCATGATTGCTTAATGGTGTCTATGCTTTTTATATGTTGTGTCAAGTCTGTACGATGTGAGTGTAAGTTTAATGGTGTGTTATTTGAGTCTGCTAGAGTTACTGCTTTATGTAACTGTGATGTTTCTTGTTTCCTGTAGAAAAACTCTTGCAGTGACTATTTGTTTGTAGTGGAGGTTAACTATATCGATCAGGCCACGTCCGCCATCTTTATGTGGAAGGGTTAATCTTTCTATGGCAGATTTAGGATGATGTTTATGCTTAGTAAGTGTTGTTCTTGTTTTCATTTGGAGTTGCTTGAGATCTGTGTATCAATGTATAACTCCAAAAGAATAAGTGTGTACTGGGACGA